CCCTCCGAGGTTTGAGTGCTGCCCATCTTTTCCCTAATGGGGAAATAAGCCCCTTGTTGGTATTTTTCAGGACAAAACATCTCCTTTGGTTGTGCTTTTAGGGGAAGCCACTTCCTTTAGTTGCATCTTTAGGGAAAACCTCCTTTCCTTTAGGGAAAATCTCGTTTTGTTGCAATTTTAGGGGAAAAACATCTCCCTTGGTTGCATATTTAGGGCAAACATTTTCCTTGCTTGGATTTTTAGGGGGAACCATCTCTCGTGGTTGTATTTTTAGGGGAAAACATCTCCTTCAGTTGCCTTTTTTTTTTTTCAGGGAAAAACCCATCCCTTAGTTGTATTTTTATGGAATACATTTCCTTTACTTGCATTCCCAGGGAAAAACATCTGTTTCCCTCAGTTAAATTTTTAAGGGGAGATATCTCTGTCAGTTGGATTTTTGGGGAAACATCTCCCTTGCTTGTATATTTTTTGGGGAAATCATCTCCTTTAGCTGGACTTTTAGGGAAAAACATGCTCTTTTGTTGCATTTTTATGGAAAAACATCTCATTTCGTTGCATTTTTTAAGGGAAAAGCATGTCCCTTGGTTGAATTATAAGAGGAAAACATGTCCCTTGGTTGAGTTATAAGGGGAAAACATTTCCATTGGTTGCATTTCCTAGGGAAAACCAACTCCTTAGTAGGATTTTTAAGGGAAAACATGTCCTTTATGCAGGAAGCTTAAAAAGCAGGGATTTGTGAGTCAAGCAGAGCAGGAGGGACCTACTCCCACTTACAGGCATGAGGAGGGAGGAAACAGGGGTTCTGTCATCCTAAAATCACAGAACATCCTGAGCTGGAAGGGATCATTGAATCCAACCCCTGGCTGTGCACAGACACCCCAAAAATCCCTCATTGTCCTTGAGAGCGTTGTCCAAGCTCTCTTGGAGCTCTGGCAGCCTCAGAGCTGCTGCTGTTCCTGCTCTCTGTGTGCTGGGCACTGATGGATTTGGGCTGCCAGGAGGATTTGGAGTCTTGCACCATTCCTTGTGACTTGTGGGCCACTGGGTTCTGCCCCCTGTGCTGGCCCAGGAGCCCACCAGAGTGTGCTGGGTTAATGTGGAACCTCCTGATCCTGGTTCATACCCTGCAAAAAGCAGCCAGGTTCCAATGTCCCTGCACTGCAAGGGCTGCTGTGTTTGGCTTGGCCACAGTCCCTTCTGCTGCTTTTCCCTTCCTTTTTCCCAATGAGATTGCTGGTGGGACGGCACAGCCAAGGGCAGCAGGTAGCTGGGGCAAAATTCTCCAGATTGCCCAAAATGAGGCAAATTGTTGCTTTTTTTTTTTTGGAGGGGGGGGAAATTTGGGAAAGCTGCTGCTGGTTTCTCTTAGCAGTGCTGGCCCAACAGCAAGTGCTGGTGCTCTCAGGGAGGTTTCAGCACTCCCCTCCTCATAGTCCCCTCCTGAACAAGCTGAAATCCATCAGAAATCCATCAGAAATCTACCAGAAATCCACCAGAAATCCATCAGAAATCTACCAGAAATCCATCAGAAATCCACCAGAAATCCATCAGAAATCTGGGTCTTCAGCCATGAGAGGACTCTGTGTGTCCTTGAGAGCCACAGGAAACCCCTTCCTCTGAGGGAGCCTTTGAGGTGATGTCCTTTCCCCATGCCCTGCCTTTTAGGGGCGCAGATAAAGGGTGACCACCTTTTATCAGGCCCTGCAGAGCCAAAATCCCGTTATCCAAGCTTTTCCCTGGGAATGGGGCACCTTCCCCCGTGCTGAAATTCTTCCTGGTAACACAGTGCAAGTGCTTGTGGGACAACAAAAGAGGTTTGTGCCTCCAGGGGAGAAATGAGAACGCAAATATCTCTGGCATGAAAAACCCCAGAGCGATTTGCTCCTCGGTATTTCTTGTCAGTGCTCTGCATCTGTCTCTGCCTCACCTTCCCATTCCTTCCCTTTGGGCTCTCCAAGAGCAATAAGGCTCTGGGGAGCCAAGGGGGCTGCAGGGGCCCTGTGGG